GTTAAATATTTAGGTAGCTAGCTAAATATTTAAGTTAAATATTTAGGTAGCTAGCTAAATATTCAAGTTAAATATTTAGGCAGCTAGCTAAATATTTAAGTTAAATATTTAGGTAGCTAGCTAAATATTTAAGTTAAATATTTAGGTAGCTAGCTAAATATTTAAGTTAAATATTTAGGTAGCTAGCTAAATATTTAAGTTGCAAGCTAAATATTTAGCTCAAAACTAAATATTTAAGTCACAAGTTTAATATTTAGTTTGTTAACTAAATATTTAATTTGTAAGTTAAATATTTAGTTTATAAACTATGACATTTAAAACTGACTTTGAAAAATAAATTGGTTATAGTTTTCCTTATAAAGGGCTAAACAAAACAAAAATATTGGTGGTAGATTTTGACTGTGTAACTTTACAAACGGCACTCCATATCCTCGCTGCTGTCTGATATTCATCTCTTCCAGACTCTAAATTAATTGTGCCCATGCAAAGCTGCCGCTGACTAATTCATAGTGAGGTGTAAATGTAAAAAAAAAATTGTATGGCTAAAATAAATAACATTGAGTCTGTCTTTTTTCAGGTTGGCCAATTTCAAGCCTAAATTTAAAGGGTTAGAACTGTGACAGTAAAAGAAGAAGGAGAAAGAAAAACAAGGATTGGCAGAAGAAACTTTATTTGTAGTTCTAAACATATTTGTGACAAAATGTCTCTTAAGGCATTATTTCTCTCTGAGCAGTTATTAGGTTAGTGACTTCTGGTGGCTTTAGGGACAACCAATAGCAACTAGTCTTATTGAAGTGTGGGCACAGTTTATTTGTGAGTTGTACGCGGAGCTATTTGTAATGCTGAGCCACTAAAATGCAATTTAGGTATGCTCGATAGTTTTTCTCAATATACAGTTCTACAACATTTTTCTGCTGGCAACTCTACTCAGCAGACATGTTCATTAAAACTAAAACAACTAAACGTAATGAAATAAACTCCTGAAATTATGTTTAAAAAACACTGTCTGGTAACAAGCCAAAGGAAATTTCTTCTTCTGCTGTTAGATGTGTTAGCTCAGAGTGACTGAGCCACAGCTTCTCATTTATTTGCACAGCCTCACGCAATGGTGAGCGCCACTTCTCTTTTCAGTGCAACTGCTTCCTCTGGGGTCTTATCTGAGGAAACAGTCTTTCCTTTCAATTCAATTCAATTCAAAAATACTTTACTGATCCCAGAGGGAAATTAGGTGTTGGTGTAACTCATTTAACTAAAGAATTATTGTAGATGCTGATGGCTGAGGGCAGGAAAGATCTTCTGTAGCAGTCTGTATTACAGTGAAGTTGAAGAAGCCTCCGACTGAAGACACTTTGTCTTTCTATGATAGTCTGATGAAGAGGATGGTCAGGGTTGTCCGCAATGTTCTTGATTTTATGTAAAATTCTTCTTTGCACCATCATCTCCAGAGATTCCACAGTCGTCCCTAGAACAGAACCAGCCTTCTTTATCAGGTTGTTTAGCCTTTTTAGGTCCCTGGCTCTGATGCTTCT